ACTGCTGCTAAAAGCAAGAAAAAGCGTTGCTAAAAACTAGAATGCTTTTACCCGCGGTTGAAATAACGGCAGCCAAACTGCCGGAATAGCCCCTTCGATATAGCTTTATAGTGATGTTTTCGTCAAACGCTGGTATAATTATCTTTATTGCGACGGTTGATGCAACGACGGTTATAAATGTCGCTATATCTTAAATTTAACCATTACTTGATAACTTTATAGCAACGGGTAGACTACTGCTATATCATTCATTTTTGCGACATTTTGTGAACCGCTACAATATTATGATTCTATTTCATCAGTTTTACATTGTCGCTATAGCCATAGATTTTGTTTTGAATTTTATTGTGGAATTTGTTTTATGATTGCTAAACTAGTTAAAAGGGTGGAACATTTCAAAGTTTTTGTGTTGATGATAAATGTTCTTTAATTGTGTCTTTAGGTTCAACAAAAAAAGCGCGTACATAAATGTTGAATTTCCTCTAATCACATTATTAAGCCAAAAAAAATTACAAATTGTGCATTAAATTCATGGACAACAATTTTTTAAACCAAAAAAAAAAAACAAAAACAAAAACAGAACAAACCAATAAAGAAAAAGATAGGCACTAACTATTTTTCCATTATGGCATTTTATCAAATACCTAGCATACATAATAGATTGAGATGATACACCTCTAGCCCTACTCAAACCGAACAAAATGCAAAACAAATCAAAAGCTAAGTTTCAAAAAATAAAAAATTAAAAAAATAAAAACATTAAAAGCAATGTAACTGTATTACCAATTCCATACACCTTTTTGTCAGTTTTACTGACTAATAGTATTTGGTGATTGGGTGAGTTTGAAGTTAAACTTCGTTCATCACAAGCAAACAATATATGGACTAAATGTAATGTTGTTTGATACTAGTATTTATATTTTCATCTCTGTCTATTAGATTCTCAGCAGTGATATATTCTTATTCAAACACCTTTGCTTTAAATTTCAACCTATAAGTCCATAAAAATCTGTGGGTTAAATTAATCTTGAAATTTCCTTTTGTTTGTTTGTATTGTAAACAAGGCCACAACATTACCTGATGAATATCATAGATGATCATATATTAGAAGCAATGAATGGAAACAGAGACTAAAAGAAAGCAAAGAGGGTGTCGGTAGAGAAACTGAGAAACCAGAAAAAAAGAGAGGGATAAGAAAGAGAAATGGAGAGAACAGACTGACCTTCAAATCACAATGGTGCTGTAGTTTGACATCGTCGATACACAGGTGGAGGATGAACGAGGGCTCAATGATGAAGTGCTGATAGACTAGGGCATACAATCGAGGCTTCAAGGAGTTGAACGGTTTTTTTTTTAAGACTAATTTGATATGTTATTCACCAAAAAAACAAAAAAAAAAAACAAATTTGATAAGCGCGAAATCTTTTTTTTTTTTTTTGGGCCCCCATTTATTTTGCTTGGCTTATTGTATCGGTTGAGTACAAATCGTCATTATAAAAAAACATATGACAGTGCTTTTTGGGAAAAATGTGACTAAAACTTGATTTTTCAACCGCGGCCAACAACTGTTACAATAGCCCATTTATAGCAACATTTTTCGGGCAGTTGCAGTAAAAAACGTTGATAAAACTCGATTTTCTTGTAATGTGGCAAACTATTGGATTTGCTCTTAATTGTTTTGTGTGCCACAATTCAAAATGGAGTAACGGTTTTGATGGACATCACAAAATTTTTAGTATTGAAATGTAAATTGGGAATGAAAATGGAAATAAAAAATACCACAAAACATATTTTGACTCTTTCTGGAAATATGTAATTTTAGGGGTAAATTACAAACACATCCCCTGAGGTTTACTTAAATTACAAATTATCCCTTGTGGTTCTAGAAATTACATTATGCCCTCCTAAGGTTTCTAATTTCATAGCAAATGGGTCATTTTATTAATAAATCATCAAATTAATTAACGGTATTTAATAATGTTAAAATTTTATTTCAATTAATAATTCAGATAATTTTATTATTCTATAAGTGAACAGTTAGAAATTTTACATTTTCAATTAATTTTGTAAAATAAAAAATTATGACATAGTGATATTTGTAATTTTTCAAACCACATAAAGCAATTCGTATCTTAAACAAACCTCGGGAGGTGTATTTGTAATTTGTCCTTATTTTAGTTACTTATTTGATATTTAAAAAAAAAAATAGAGAGTTGGGATGGAGTGTTTTAATTTATTCACTATTTTAATTTGGAACAGACTATTTTAGTCCAACCCAGACACCCAATGATGATTTTTAACTGGACTTTAATTTAAAACTTTTTACCTACGAATTATATTACCCCAAATATTTTTCAAAAACAACTGTTCATCAAGATTAATTGGTGCTATTGTTATTATTATTTACTATTTTTTGCAGCCCAGAAAACAAAATAAATACTACAGTAAATAAAAGAAATAAAAATGATAATTCTTTTAACATTTTGTGTGGAGTATCCGTTGTCCAACCCCAACCCTCACCCTAACCCAAACCCAAACCCAAACCCAAACCCAAACTTTGCTTTTATCCGTTGTCTCTGTCCAACAAACACTCTCAGATGTGCTGTCCCTAACTCAGCCTACCATTCGCAAATGAATTAAGGAATCAGTTATATATTTTAGCCAAAAGAAAAGGCATAACTTTCTAAGCTAGCCATCCGTCCCCATTGCTTTGGCCTTTTCTGTCTACAAAAGAAAAAGTGCTTTATCTTATATGAATGGTACACACATTTCCCACGAATTAGCAGAGGACAAAAGCTTTGCTTTTTTTTGTTTTTTTTTTGGGTCCTTGGCAAAAAAAATAAACACTGCATAGAACTGTACCCCCTCTTTGGAAAAATGCAAGAGCAAATTACAAATCAGTTGAGATTGTTTAAAATATTTATAAATTTATAAAAAAAATTATAATTATAATTATAATTATAATTATTAAAATTGATAAGTTTATTATTAGTTTAAAATTTATTTTTGAAATGCACAGGCAATGGTATAAAATAAGAATTTTTTTTTTTTTTTTTCCGTTTTTGGATTGGCATGCAGTGCCAGTAGTAGACGCCAAAATGAGCAGAGAGACTTGGCAGCTACTAGTGTTAGTGGAAACAATCCTCTCTGATGGGTGATGGGGACAACACAGCCTACTTCCAATAAAATCATATTCAGACTGCCCGCGCTTAAATTGCACTTTGTTGTCGTCGTTATATTCGATCACTTTTTTTGGGGAAGCACTAACCAATTTTAAAATATGATTTTATGAACAGTAGTGACTTTTGTATTTGAATTTAATTTTTTAAAAATAAAATAAATTTCTCAAAATATAAAATTATATATTTGGATAATTTGTACTATAAAAGTTTTAGATCTTTCTTCATTTTAGAACAAATCTCATATTATGAACAAAAATATAACACTCCAATAACGTAATATTTTAATGTAACACAAAAAAAAAAAATTGGTGTACTTTTCTTAAACGTAACAATATAATACTCAAAAAAAAAAAAATTGGTGTACTTTTTCCAAACGTAACGCTTCAATATAATACAGAAAAAAAAATTCTTAGTATACTTTTCCCAAACGTAACACTTTAATCAGTATACTTCCAAACGTAATACTCTAATGTAACATACTCCAATGTAACACACAAAAACACTAAAAAAACTCATTAGTATACTTTTTCTAAACGTAACACTCATAGTTTAAAATTATACATTTGCCCAAAACTTATTAAGGAATATTTGTACTCCTTTTGGAATGGTTTCAAGAATCTCATATTTTTTTGTTTTCTAATATTACATTGAATTATACTTTGTTGGTTGAAATTGTTGGTTCGAAATTGGCCCGAATACCCAAAACGACGTCGTTTTGGGTATTTTTTCTTTTTTCTTTTCTTTCTCTTGTGTTCAAATACAGAGGGAAAAGACGAGGGGAGAGAGAGAGAGAGACACGAGAGAAGAGAAGAGAAGAGGAAGAGAAAAGAGGCGACGGCGGTGATGGCGAGGAAGAGAAGGAAGATTGGCGGTGATGGAGGTCTCTCTCTGCCGGTGGGTATCACCCCTTTGTTTTCTCTACCTTTTTTTTTTTTTTTTTCTCCTTTCCAGTAGATCTGGATTTGAGGATGAAAAGGGTAAAAAAAATTGTTGATGAAGATGATGAAGATCTGGAGATGATGATGATGATGTTGATCTGGAGATGATGATGATGTTGACCTAGATCTGAAGATGATGAAAATGTTGTTGCAATGATTTCAAAATCTGAAGATGAAGGAAAAAAAAAGTTATTGATGAAGATGTTGATGATGTGGATCTGGATATGAAGATGTTGATGAAGATGTTGTTGCAATGATTTCAAAATCTAAAGATGAAGGAAAATAAATAAATAAATAAATAAAAATTGTTGATGACTATGAAGATGTTGTTGATGTTGATGAAACTCAGCAATAGACCTAGCTAATTTTTTTAGTCGGCAAAAGTAAAATATTTAGCTACTAATTTTTTTTTAGTCAGCATATATTGATTATTAGCAACTAAAAAAAATTAGTCCCTAAAAATGTCAGAATTGGCGAAAAAAAAAAAATTTAGTCTCCGTATATTTAGTTTTGGCTACTAAAACCATTTAGTCGCCGAATGAAAAATAAAAAATTATTTTTTAGCTTTGGCGACCAAATGTTTAGTCGCCAAAAACTTATTTTCAGCGACAAAATAAAAAAAAATTAGTCGCTGTATATTGAGTTTTGGCTACTAAATCATTTAGTCGCCGAATGGAAAATAAAAAATTATTATTTATTTTTGGCGATCAAAAATTTAGTTGCCAAAGACTTATTTTCAGCCACCAAAATATATATTTTAGTCGCCAAAAAATTAAAATATTTGGCGGGATTTACAAAAATAATTGGCGACTAAAAAAATTTAGTCGCTAATGGTGTAATATATATATATATATATATTTTTTTGGTTTCCAAACAACAAACCAGCGCCTGACTCTCTGTCCAGCGTCTCTCCCTCTTCCTCTCCGCTACTCTTCTCCCATTCCTCTCTCACTGCCGCTCTACCAGCCGTGCCTCCGCCGCTCCTCCTTGTGGTCGCCGGCAACTGGAGCACCGATTCACCTAGATTTGCCCTATATTCTTAGGCATCATAACTATTCTCAGTTCAAAACTTGAAACCCTAACCTACAGTTTCAAATTCGACTCTCTCCAATTCTCTCTCTATATATATAGGTAGGTGTGTATATATATATATATTATATTTGTGATGGGTAGGGTATATAATTAAGGGATTTTTTCTGAACCCACCAACACCGTCCAACGCCCTACAATGGCATCGGAGAACGAAGACAAACCCACCCCCTCCTCCATCAATCGACGATTGACTTTACCCCAGGTATGTCTATATTTCGTCCTCTCTGTCTTTGTCTATGTCCCTCTCTCTCTATCTCTCTCTCTCTCTGTGCATCTTCTTTCATTCGCACACTTTGACACAAACCCAGCCCTATGTGGGTGTGGGTGTGGTTCGTAGGCGGTGATCAAGATTTTTGGGGGTAATGGAATTGAGTTTTTCCATGGTGGAAGAGATGGGTTTTTGTGACCCAACTTGGCTTCTTATTTTCGAGTTCTTCAAGCAATTCCTAACATTTGCACAAGATTTGATCTGATTGTCACTCTCTGTTTTTGCCCTCTGTGAACTGAAACCAATGTTAGATTTTCACTTTCTCATGTCTATGCTCAGTGATAATCTTTTTCTTGTATAGTATTAGCCTTTAGATTTTTTGGGTTGTGTTTGTTTTTTTCCTGGGGTTGATTCTAGTTTTGAGCTTTGATCTCATAGTCACTCTGTTTTGGCCTCTGTGAGCTGAAAACAAGGTTAGATTTTCACTTTGTCATGTCTTTGTTCAATGATAATATTGTTCTTGTCTAGTATTAGCCTTTAGAATTTGAGGGTTGTGTTTTTTTTTTTTACTAGGTTAATTCTAGTTTTGAGTTTTATCTCATAGTCACTCTGTTTAGGCCTCTGTGAGCTGAAAACAAGGTTAGATTTTCACTTTCTCATGTCTATGCTCATTGAGAATATTGTTTATTTGTAATATTAGCCTTTAGATTTTGTGGGTTCTGTTTCTTTTTTTTTGGGGGGGGTTAATTCAAGTTTTGGGTTTGATTTTGTATGCACATATGTGAAATTTTAGGATCTAATTATCTGAAAAATTTATTCATTTAAGGTCGTGTCTGTGTGTGTACTTTTTGATGATCTGAGCAAGTATTGATCCATATATCAGTGTATAAAATTTGCTAATTTGAAATCAAGTAAGTTTGAATCAGAGCAACTAGAGCTTTGGTTATATAATTCTTGCTTGAAGAGCACAAACTTCGGTCTCTAATACAGTCAAAGAGGAAGAAGATGAATCACATTTTTATTGGGTTGATCATCTGAGTTTTTTGGTCTTGATAGAGCCTGTAAGGAAATGTGATGTTTTAAGCAACATATGAAGCATATTCACATAAAATTCCATTTTTGTTAGAGCATCTACAATCTTTCACTAATTCCTTTTTCACGCTGCATTTCTTTAGCTTCATTGCTTGAGGCGCACACTATTTTTTAGGTATGTCAATTGCATGCAATTATGATTTGGATTATGAGCACTTGTAGTAATGTTTGATCTGATTTTGTTAGGGATTTTTGATCAATATCCCCTCGTGCTGTGGCATTCTTCGATTGAATCTTACTATGTAGTTTACAAGGAGATTTAAGTATAGAACATGGACTGCCATTGCATTGACATATATGTGAGAAGAAAGTTGGGGCTTCAGGTTCCTTGATTCTGATCGTTGACGTTAGGCGCTGATTATGTAACATGTGCATATCATTAGAATTATTTCTCCTTTGACTATGACTTGGCGGTAGCAATCGATGCAAGTAAAAATCACCAGGTGGCTGGCATGCTTTTCCTTGTATGAGAGAAAGCACGGAAAACCCCCTCCATCCTGTAACATAGGGGAAAAAACTTTCCCCTGAATCATGAAAATTATATATATTACTGATGATATTTTTTCTTTGGGGCATTCCTCTCCTGTTTTGGATTTCTTGGTGCATACTTTTACTTGCTAATGGTTCTATTATGTAATCATATGTATTATGTGTCCTAATCTCTAAACTTACACACTGGGCGTTGTATATTCTTACACACCTTTTTCACCATCAAGTATTTTTGTAGCATTGGCATTGCGTTTCGATGTGTCTAGGGGGAAAGAAAGCCAGTATTTCAAGAGCGCTTTTCTAGGATATACCATTGGTTTAGTCCTTGCTATTATTGTCATGAATTGGTTTCAAGCTGCACAGGTGTGTATTGCTCTTTTCTTTTACTATTATTGTCCTTACTTAACAGTTTCAATTTATTTCTAAACTGTCATTCTCGTCATGATGTAGAACCTGAACATCCAAGTGACAAATTGATGAAGAACAATTGTGAAAGGACCTTTAGCCCAACAATAGTGTCTCTAGCATCAGCATCAGCACCACAATTGTTATTAAGATTTTCTTTAATTTGGATTTTAATTGTTGGTTTGGATAGTATATGTATTTGTTGGATTATACTATATTTATGGATTTTTATTTTGTTTGATATGTATGGTTAATAGTTAAGTTTTGTATGTGGTTGAAAATTGAATGGTACAGGTTGTAAAGAAATATTTTTATTGAATGGTTAAGAATTGAATGAATGAATGAATAGATGAATAATTTTGTATATGCATAGGATATAGGTGGCACAAAAAATATTACAGAATAAATTATAAAAACTAAATGAGACCTTTTGGTGACTAAACAAATGTCACGGGTTGGCTTTTGGCTACTAAAACTTTAGTTGCCAATTGTGAAAAAGTGAAACTTTTGGCTACTAAACTGTTAGTCACCAAATGTAAAAAAAGAAACTTTTGGCTACTAAAATTTTAGTCGCCAATTCTCAAAAAATAAAATTTTTGGCTACCAAATAATTAGTTGCCAAACATACATGCTCAATTGGCTACTAAATAATTTAGTCGCCAAAAGTAAATATATTTATATATTTAATTTTTTATAAAAAATATATGGCGACTAAAAAAAATATATGGTGACTAAGGTTTTAGTCGCCAATAGGTCACTTTTGGCTACCAAAAAAATTTTAGTCGCCGATTGTTTCCCCGACAAACTATGGGAGACCAAATGGGCGACCAAATATATTAGTCGGCAAAAGTGATTGGCGACTAAATATAAGGCTTTTGGCGGCTAAAATTTTAGTCGCTAAAAGTGAAATTTCTTGTAGTGGAAGGGAAAAAAATCAAAACGACGTCGTTTTGGCACTACCGCAGGGATAGCTGGCACAAAAGATGATCTGGACAAAGAGTAGTGCTACTGGGTTCTAAAACAAATCTTTTATTATTCATTATTCAAAGATAATCAACAAAAATAAAAACAAATAAATAACAAATAATATCACTCACATGTCTCATTTTTAAATTTTCATAAATATATTTTAAAATTCTAAAACATTCTCTAATTTAATTTTTATAAATTATATAAAAACAAAAAAAGTTATTCACATTATATAGGCCTTGTTAGGTTTGTGTTTTAAGATTTTATTTTAAAAATAATTTTCTAGAAAGAGTTTAAAAAATTTAAAATTTTGTTTGTTTGTATATTTTGAAAATAATTTTGGAATTTTAGAATTTGGGATGATTTGATATTTTTTTAATTTTTTTTTTAGGTAAATATTTTTTTATAGTTGAATAGATGAATGTGAAAGAAAAAGTGTTTGAAAAAGTTAGAGGAGAGAAAAAAAGGATTGATTGATATATAGTAGAGTATTGTTAGAGACTCACAACTCGGATTCCTAAATCCACCTAAAATGACATGGCAAGAGATGTAGGCCATATACAATTGAGTATATGACAAATTAAAAATTTGACATACATTATACCACATTAGTATGGATCAAATTATGAGAAGTTTTTTTTTTTTTTTGTAGGTCTTAAATATTTTCCTTTAATAGGTCTACTGGGAAAAAAAAAGTTTTTTTATTTTTTTATTTTTATAGCAATGATAACCAATCATATTGTATGTGTTAAAAAAAATGTATTAAAAATATATAAAATATGTTTTTGTGGGTATTGATTTCCAACCTTACAACCAAATAGGGAACTTAGCTAAAGAGCACGCCGCAAAATAGATTAAGCCAACCACCTGCCAACAAGAAAATGAGAATACCGCAGTGGTTCGTCCACTTGAGGGCACTCCGACAATCAAGTCAATCAAACAATTTCTCAAAGACACTAAATAAGTACTAAACTCACAAAATAAAGCATACCTTAGACCCACGGGGGTGCCTCTCTTTTATAGTCAGTAATGTCCTGGTCCCCTAGAAGTCTCACTTCATAAGACTCAAGCACAATGCATATCCCAGACTCTTAGCTAGATATGAATAAACTCCTTAAGAGCCTCATCCTTATCCCAACTAAGTGCCCCCTCTTATCTAGGACTCTTGTCCTCTATCCAAATATTTGGGATTTCGGCATTACTGCACCGAACCTCGGCAATACCACAATCACCTCGGCAAACATGATTAACCCACATGGCACCTTGGCCGACATCTCGAAGGCACCTTAGCATGTAGCGTCATTCTCAAAATACTTCCCCACAACTACCCCTAGGTTTTATTACCTTAACAACCTGAGGTGATGGAACCTATATCGTCTGATCTTCCAATGTATCGGCTAAACAACATGCTAGAGATATTCCTCCGACTGAGATCATGACTCGTCGGCTTCAAGTAACCAGGACTCAGTTGCCCACTTCGTCGAGAATCAAGAACCAAGAACCAAGTTCTTTCAACATCTCAACTGAGATCGATTCGCTAGCCGAGGTCATTAGCCCACTAGTCCGAGAACTCTGAGAATCTTAATTGTGCATGGCCGGTCACGCCCCATTATCCCAATCGTTTCTTTCACGTGTCATTACTTGCATGCGTCATTATGTCACACCAATTCTACCATGCCGCCGGACATCAGAGCAGGCACTTCACCCTAGGTGGTTTTATCATGTTTTCTCACCTTTTTTCATTCTAACAAAATTCTCTCTTCTCTCTCCGTCTCTTTACTTTGCAAACACAACTCTCTCTATTCTCAAACTTTCTTTCTCTAAAATTTCTTAAACCTCCATTGATGTTCCTTCGAGCTTTCTACAACCGTTCCGTTCACCCCTTCCGGCGAGTTTTCCATCATTTCGTTCCAATTAAGATCACCATCTGACTTCGCGCGAACACGAATCTGGTGTCCCTTTCCTTGGCCTTGCTCTGTAGGTCCTCGATTTCTTTCTTTTTAATTTCAGTTTCTTACTGTTCTTCGATACATTTCTTCGTTGACTATTGCACATCACACATTGCATTTGTGTTATCATTAAGCTTGTATCCTCATTCAAACTCTCTTGTTTCACACGTTCGTCCTCTAATTTACTTTCTGTTCTTCATGTTCTTGAACTTGCACTTATGTTTTTTGCATTTGTTTATGCCTCTGACTCTCTCACAATGGCACTAGATGTCACGGGTCAATTCTTGCACTTGAATCTGTCAATGTTCTATTTTTATTGTATTCTTGAATCTTTGATCACTGTTTCATGTTTTTAAGACTTGTTTTTTCTGTCTTTTCTTGATCGTTTCCAGATTACTACCTCTGAATCTTTGCCCATTCCTGTTAATGTTATATAGATTTAGGATTGAGATTTGCTAGAAACCATACTTAGGAAAAACTGAAACAAAACATTCCATAGATCTCCAAAATCTCTGCCTTAGTGCTCATTAGGGTTTCGCCGAGGTCCTTTAACCTACACAGTCCACATTTCTAATAGTAAACAATATCAAATTCACCTTAGTCGAGGTCATGGGTATATTTAAATGGAGGGTACACTCACCCAGTAAGTTAGAATATTTCTGCCAGGAGTTCAACATTCTAGCTGACGTTCAACTCAGGTTGGCTGGAAAAGAGGACTCCATGATGCCCGGAGAGACCTATATGCCCTTCCCTATAGTGTTAATTATCGATGATGGAATTAGATTCCTAGATTCCTCATTGACATCCTTTTTAGAGAGGTTCTCCACTTTTATAAACTTGCAATCCTATGCAACTAGCAGTAAACACATTCAGAGTCATCAATGGTACATCATGTGTGGCCTTAACTCTTCTGGTGACTATACTTACTACCTCAAACCCTGATCCACCAAGTACAAACTGATAGCCGACTTTCCACACTCCAACAAAGGCGCTGGAGATAACCTGATTGTCTCGAGCAATTGGGAGTTCGAACCAGACGACGATCTTCATCTCTATCTTTTATACCGAGGAGTCTTTAAGGAAGAAGAGGGTAAGAACTTAGTCATCCCATAGTCCCATTTCGTTTTAACACTTATGAATTTATTTCTCTTTAATGTTCTAATGTTTTCTTGTTGTTGTTTGTAGAATTGCCTCAGCCTCCGAAGAATTTTCGCCAGACCTACATCCCTAACTAAGATCTCATTTAGCTTTTGGGTTTACCTATCGAAGTCTGCAAGGCTCTAATCCTTTTGAATTACGTGCCGACCTACCGCAGCCCACTACTGAACGTTTCCAGAAGGAGTAAGACACCACCATCAACATCAACTCAACAAGCCACTTCTTCACCATGGCCAGATCAGGTATCAATGTCTCATCCAGTGAATGAGCCATCCACATCTACTCCAGCCCATCTTGTTCCTCCATCATAACACCAACATAGTCCCTGACCTCCAAACGCTCTTGTCAGCAGAACTCGGAGCACAAAGGGCAGAGGTTTGGACACATCGGCATATGATCTAGCGAACCCGCCAATCGCTCTTTCCGTAATTAAATCTGGCATTGGAGTAACCGTCGCTGCCACATCCAAGGAAATGGATCGCAAACCAGCTGTGCCCGAGTGTCACGACCCCATTCCGCCCCTAGTAGAATGGTGCCATGATGGCTAGTAATCCGAGAATACCAAAGGCCAACTTACAAAATTTCACACACAATTAGAGTATAAATATACGGGGCCTACATGTGCGGAAGCAAATTTAAATCTAAGTAGTCCATAAGAGTTGTGCATAGATCAAATGAAATGACATACATCTTAATATGGTTTTACAACTTGAATACAAATAAAATAAATATATAGTACATCTTGATCAAAAGGCTTCTCAAGCCGACATATACAAAAGAAATACAACAGGCGAGCCAAGAAGCATAATCTTCAAGAGGTTAGCAAAATGAATCCAAAACAACTTGCAAATAACATCTAGGCATCACCGCCTTCTTGCTCGTCACCTACATATATATATATATAAGGAGAGGGTGAGCTTGGATACTCAGTGAATGATATTAGAAATAAAGATTTGCATGACTGATATTCAAGATCTTTATCAACAATACATAGCATATCTTGTACAAAATCAAAGGATGAACCAAGTTCATCTGTCAAATCTTTCAAAGCTTCAAGGGATGCTTACTACCATCAATATAATACAAGGGATGACATTCCGGGCAAACCCACGCGGTAAACCGTCTGCGGCAAGGCAAAGGAGATCTCAAACAAGGGTACTAGTTGCATTATAGTCCCCTAGCACTAAGGATTTTTAAAACAAGGGTACTAGTTGCATTATAGTCCCCTAGCACTAAGGACTTT